TCTCTCTCTCTCTCTCTCTCTCTCTCCCTCTCTCTCCCTCTCCATCCTCCCTCTTTATGCAGGAGTCGTCCCCCTACCTGTATTATTTGCGCCCCTAAACTACGCCTCCCGTGTGCCGTGCGTTCATTCGGCAACCTCAGCGCCCTATCGCCCGGTGGCGGCGGTGGTGCTGCTGAGAGGTTGAGGCTCTCTGCCGCCGCCAGAGGAGGCGCTGCTGCGTGTCGAGCGCATCTGGTGCGCGGCGGTGGCGATGGCGAGTCAGAGTCTATTAAAATCACCCCTCCCTCCCTACCTCCTCTCCCCGCGCCCCTGACCCTCGCGCCCTCGCCACGTGACACCACGGCCCGCCACGCTGCGCTGGCCACGGCCCGCGAGCCGCCCGCCGCCCGCGCATGCTGCTGCACACCCAATCTAAATAATCTTCGTCATAATAATAAATGTATTATCCCTCAATCACAATCCGCCTAATGGCGAGGATTACCAGAGACTCGGTGCCGCTGCGACCACCACACCCCTACCTTACGCTCTTTTTTCTCTCTTCGTGCTCCCTCTCCTCTCTCTCTCTCTCTCTCTCTCTCTCTCTCTCTCTCTCTCTCTCTCTCTCTCTCTCTCTCCGTTCCTTGGACGTCGTCTCTCGTTTCGCTGATTCTCGCCGCCCGCCCCCATCATAATCCCCAGCCCTGCGCCCCCAATCTCACACCATCGAGCGCGGCCCGCTAATTCTCAGCCTCGGCGGCTTTGTCTGGAGCGGAGGCAACAATCCCGCAATACTAGAAAATATGTAATTCGCTCCTTGTGCCGCTTGTTCTCTCTCTAGCCCTTGCTAGCTCTCTCTCGCTCTCGCCGACCCTCGTGCGTCAACCAACGTCAGCTTCCTTCCGCCCGTCTTATCTCTCTTTTTTTGCTTTTTAATCAAGGCTATCTGGGAGCCTCGTAATCTTCTCGCGCGTCAGAAGAAAACTTTGATTATTAAATATTAAGTTGTCGGTCGGTGCGCTGCCGCTGGCTGGAGGAGCTGGAGAGAGTGTGACAGAGAAAGAAAGAGAGAGAGGTGGAGACTTTGGATCGGTGAAGGGCCGCGATTGGATTGGAACCCCCACCCCTTGTCCTTCACCAGGAAAGACATAATCATGATTATCGCACGATTTCACAATTCTTTTAGTACTACATTTTAACAAAACACACCGCGGTATACTTGAACAGAAGGGCGTATGTATATTGTCTACAAAGTAAGTGTAGCAGTTTCAAAAGGGTTGCACCAGTCCCTTATTTGTCTGATTGCCCACGGCAAGGTGTCAACCCCTGATGAACGACCAATCAATTAGAGCCCCCCTCCCCCCTCTGTGGAGGAGAAGGAGGAGCAGGCGGGGTGGTGTCGGCGAGGAGCTCGCACGGCGGCCCAAGTCAACACGGCCATGGCTGTGTTTACAGGCCGGCGGCAAACAGAGTTGCGCCCTTTTATTGGGGACGCCTATGCTATGCAGGCGGCTCGAGGCGGCTCGAGGCCGGGAGGAAGTTTGGCCGTTTGAGTTTGTGCGACACGCACTTAGCGGCCGCCCTCGCCGACCTACGCCGTGTTGCGGAGGGAGCAACAACTGTTCGTTGTCATTTTAGGCGATGCGGGCGCCGCCGTGCCGCCCTGGAGGTGGAGGAGGAAGAGGGGGGTCGTGGAGGCGGCCCGGAGCAGCGGCGTGACATTTGGCGCTAAAGAGGCGTCCTGCAAGGGGGCAGGTCGCCCGGGCTGCCGGTGGTCGTGACGGCGGCGGCGGCCACCTCGCGCATGACCGCTCCAATTTAACTCGAGTGTTTTCTCTGCAAACTGCTGCTCGTGCCGGGGGGCCCGGCCGAGCCTGGCCTGGCCTGGCCTAGCTTGCCGCTCCTCGGTCACCGCCAACACCAGCACCACCCTTCCAAGGACACGGAGAGGGCGGCGGGAGGGGAACGGGGCGGAATTAACTCGCAGCTGTAGTGCCCTTAGCTCCTTGACGCGGTCCACGGCCGAGAGGGCAGTGCTGAGTAGGGATTCGAAAATCGGGAATTTTCGAGAACTTTTCAAAATAAATTCGGACATTAAAAAATCAAGATCTAGAACATTTGATTAATTTTTACCTACTCAGAAAAAAAATATAAATTTGCCAATAACATGTTGAACAGTTTTTCCCTAAATATGTTACTGGAACATCTAATCCCCTTGTGCTGGGCGGGCGGGACAGATTCCTAGCTCTCTGTGGGACTCACCTGTATGGATGTAGGTATGCTTCTTCATGTCGGACTTCTGGTGGAAGCGCTTGCCGCAGTAGGAGCACGGGTAGGGCCGGGTGTCGGAGTGGATCAGCAGGTGGGTCGACAGCGTGGACGAACGCTTGAACGTCTTGCCGCACTGCTTGCACTCGAACACCTTCTCCACGCTGTGCACCGCCCTGAGGGGCAGGACCAACCATGAGCAACGGGAGAAGCACTGGGATTGCAGAGGTTTAGGTAATGGGAAGAAGCACTCACCGGTGCTGGCTGAGGCTGACTTCGGCGCCGAAGGTCTTGTTGCACGACTCGCAGGCGAAGGGCCGCTTGCCGTTGTGCGAGCGGCGCGCGTGCACCTCGAGGCCGTGCGGCGTGGGGAACATCTTCTCGCACTTGATGCACGAGTAGGTGTCCCCGAGGCCGCCGGGCCCCATGCCGCCCGGCCCCATCCCCGGCATGCCGGGCACCTGGTGCCCGCGCATGAGGAGGTGGTGCTGGTGGTGGTCGTGGTGCGCGGCCGCCAGCTGCCCGGCGGCCACCAGGTGCCCCGCTGCGGCCGCCGCGGCCGCCGGGTGGAAGCCGCCCACGTTGGGCGACATGAGGAGGTGGTGGCGCAGCCGCAGCAGGTCCTCGGCGGTCGGCGGCATCCTGGGCGGGAAGGCGGCCGTGGTCGACGGCGAGGTGCTCGTGGACGCGGAGCCGGCCTGCGAGTTTTGCATGGCGGCCTGCACCGCGCCCCAGAGGGAGGTGACGGGGCTGGCGCCGGGCGAGGAGCCCGAGCCCTCCTTGCTGGTGGGCGGCGCGGGCGACGGCGGGTAGAAGTTGGACGGCAATAGGGGCGGATGGCGCCCCAACCCGTAGGGCGGCGAGTGGTGGGGTTGCGGTGACCCGCCCGCCTTGAACAGGTCTGAGAAGATGGGCCCCGGGTAGAAGAGCGACCGCGTCACGGAGATGGACTCGGTGATGGTGGCGTGCTGCGGGGGCAGGCTGGTGCGCGGGAACAGGTCGGGCTTGAGCAGCGCCTGCACGCTGAAGGCCTCGGACCGCTTGCTGGGCGCCTTGCTGGCGGCCGAGACCTCCGTCAGCCCGCCGACGCCCAGTCCGAGCCCCAGCTGGCTCAGCGGGCCGAGCCCCGGGAGGCCGCTGTGCGGCGACCGCGGCGACCCCAGGGGTGAGTGCGACCCGGGCGCAGAGCACCGCGACGAGCGGGACACGGGTGAGTCCGGCGCCCCGAGGCTGAGCGGTGAGCTGCGCGGCGCGGGGCTGTGCGGGGGGCTGTCCACCTGCGGGCAAATAAAAGGGGGCAATCACGAATCGTTCCCTCCACCAAATTGCGTCAACCGTCAACCGCGACGGCTGCCGTCAACCAACCCAACTCACCTCGAGCTCGGGCGAGCTGAGCGGCGACCGGTGCGGCGAC